CCCCCCCCTTGGCTCTTCTTACGTACAAATTTCCCCCACCGCCAAAAGAACACAAGAAAGGAAGGGCAGAGAGGTCCAACAACAGACACTACATTCGTCCACCAGAGCTTCCCTTCCTCGCTGAGGCAGCCGTGCGCGCCACAACCCCCCCCCTCATCCCCCCGCGCACGGCATGCGTATCACATGCGCCTTTCCTCTGCAAGATGTCCCCCTCAACTTTCTCCGACCGACAAACCCGTGTGTACAACAGCAGGGTGCCAAGAGTCTTATGCCTGCCCCTCCCCTCCATGCCTCCCCCCCCCGACTTTCACAACCAGCAACGAGAGGAGCCCAATATTCTTGCGAGTAGAGCGATGGTGAACAAAACCCACACGCCGTCCTTGCCGCACCCTTCCAGTCGTCCCTGAGGGACCGGCGTCCACACGTCGTTTCCGAGGCACAGCAGTGATGGATCAAGGACATCCAGGCCTCATCTAGACCGTATGGAAGCAAGGAAAGGGCGACGGCTCTCTCGCATAAATAGACCGTTCATTCCTACATCGGCTCAAGTGAACTCGAAAACACGCCAAAACAAAAGAGGACGAATCAAACCGCCTGCCTGACAAGGGCAATAAAACACGATTGGGTCGCTCGCTACATACGCACTTACGCTACCGCTACCAGAGTTTTTACTTACCACTACTTCGAAGACCCCCCCCTCCCCCCACCTACTCATCGGCCAGACTGGCCTCTATCATGCTTCATCTGTACAAGCACGGAACCCCCACCCTCGACAACACGGCTCACGTGAAGCATGCACTGCACACACACAACACCCACACAACACCCACACACGAGACCCTTTGATGAAAACCTTACCGAGGCGTGTGGTGTATCGTACCGCCCGGGGCACATGACATGTTAACCCCGTACCCCGTTGAAGAACGCGCTTCTACGCGTGTGCGTCCCCCCTCCACCAACAAACGCACAGCAAATATTGTATCGAGTTGCAACCGTTGTTCCCTCTGCATCTTGGAGGGAATTCAACGCCTCGACTCTATGCACACAAGAGTCAAAGATTTGACACGACCCTCTTGACACGCGGCCCAAAAAATCAGTTTCTCCACCAAGAGCAACAAAAAATTAAACACAAGAAAGAACGGCAAAAAAAAATCAACTCTTTTCAAACACGCAAGACTCGGGTTTTTCCTATCGAGGAGAAACAAGAACGCAAGAGAATGATTAAAGAAACGACAGAGGAGAAGGCACGCACGCAACAAAACAGTCAAGACGGAAACAAAAGCAAAATTCTCGTATGTACCTCGTATACTGACGTCAAGAACCACCGTTATTCTGCCCTTTCGCGTTCGACTGGCCTACAAACCGGCGGCTGTGTGAGTCATCCCCCAACACGCCGCACCCACGAATGAATCATGACCGTTGAGACAGTCGTGTTCATTGGGAAACAAGCGAAAACACTGCGTGTAACACCCCCCCCCCCCCCCCCCTATCGGCAAAAGGCTCATCATTTTTTCATCTAGGGGCCTCGGCGTGTGCTTTGCAGGAAAGAATATGTGTGTTCACTGCAAGAAAACGACATCCATGCACTGCAAAAGAAAGGAAAACAAGCAGCAAGACAGACTGAAATCCTAATCAACCAATCATCCGTTGAAACCTAAAAAGAAATTTAGTTATCTATCCGCCTCTCTCTTTTCGTCGTGTTTCGATCTCCCCACATGACAACCAGGCGGTCGTGGCATTTCGCACCAAACGCCTATCCTCCTGCCCCCTCTCCACACCCCACGCCCCTTTCAGGAAAAAAAATGCATTCAAAACCCCAAACCCCAATGTGCTCATTAGATATACCTCGTGACCCCCAAAGCAAGCAACAAGACCAGACCTCCCCCCCCTAAACTACAAACAATGTATATAGTCGTCGTGCCCCCCCCCCCCGGCGCAACGACGGCCGGCCCTCTCAAGGAGAGCGAACCAAGACTGGGACAAAGGAATGTAGCTGGAAGAAGGCCTTGTGCAGGCTGCAAGCAACAGTTACGGGTGCTGCAACGTACATGTGATATCCAAACCCTTAACGCACACCGCCACCCGCCGAACTTTTCGTGTGCATTTCGTTTCATTTTCTTCGAACTTGTTTACCAAGCGAGCGCATCGTAACCCCCCCCCCCCCCC